CTGGTCCCAGGAAATGGCAAACGGAGTAACCAACCAATATTCACTGATCATCAACTCATTTGGTTTCACCGTTCTTCAAACAACACTATTAGGAACCGTGACGGGGGTTGTATCATTCTTTTCTCTCATAACAGCTGCGATAACCTTGTACCACACCAAGGTAAGCCAGGTCCGAACATTCTTGTGAATGTAGACTGAAACTTGCAGAACTGCCGAGCATGGATATCCCTCATTGCCTACATTCCAGGTGCTCTTTCAAGCATCCTTCTACTAGGTTAGTGGTTGTCTTCTTTTCAAAATATGACCCACTACTGACGGACCCGACAGCCTTGCCCTGGTCCAATCGATGGGGTCTCATCGCTGGAATCTGGATTCGATCTACAGTCGGCATCCCATATGCCATTGTCATGATCTGGGCTGCCAATGCGTCAGCGGGTCATACGAAGAAAACTACGGTCATTGCGCTTTATCACATTGGATACGGACTGGGAAATATTATCTCTCCGCAATTATTCCGACCGGAATGGAAGGTGAGTTCATAATTTGTGCTAGCTTGGATTGTCATACTAACAAAGATTCTAGCCTCGCTACAGGCCAACATGGATTATTTTGCTTGTGGTAAGTTATATTTTAAAAAAGCTACTTGCGGAATATTTGGCTTACAGCGCTTAAGGTCGCTGCAATTCTTCCGTCAATCATTATTATCGCGCTCAGGATCTACCTAAGCCAAGAGAATAAACGTCGCGACAAGCTCGCGGAAGCTAATCAGGTGGCTAGCAATGGTGTTGTCGAGACGGTCGATTCGGATGGGGGCAAAGTCACTCGAATCGTGGATAATAGTCAGTTGGACTTGACTGATAGGGAGAATTTGACGTTGTAAGTTTCCATTGACTGGTTTGTTGGTCCTGAAATTGATACTTATTCGAGAACAGCCGATATGTACTCTGATAGACTTTCTGGATACGTATATTCGGCCTGGAGCTTTAGAGGCTTGGGGTTTTTGAAATTAAATAACTACGCTCTATAGGGGGGATACTGTTATTATCCTTCTCTTGGGTTGTTTATTTTGCCCATCTCTTTCCTGTGCCTCTGGATAACTATCATATGTTATATGTAGTACCAGATACATACATCACAGCCTCGGATACAGTATTCGGTCATAATTTAACATTGATTTCAAAGCTTAAAGCACAATAGGTTCCATCTAAAGTTGTGCGATCACATTCCTATGGCGTAAACCACCCTGCAAGGATCCGACACACAACAGTCGGCCTGAATGACGTGCCAGATGATTTCCAAGCACCTCAAAGCACCTTATCTCCTCGGTTCTCCTCTTTGAATTGCATTTATTTACACCCTATAATGCTCCCCACCGTATAACCACTATGAATAAATAGTTATTCGACCCATACTTCAACCATCTACAACAGCTCACCATGGACATCCAGGAAAGACAACCTCTCTTAAACCCATCAACTCACTCGAACGTTCCATCACACAGCTCTCAACAAGAACCACTCGGCCTCTCATCCGACGATTTTCCAACACCATACCCCGACACCCTACCAGGGACGCCCTACAGAAAGAGCATCAACTGGTCAAGCGCATACATATTAGTCATTTCGCAAGTGATTGGGAGCGGTATATTCGCAACACCAGGCTCAATCGTCAGATCCGCCGGAAGCATAGGATTGACTCTGCTAGTATGGCTGGTTGGGACGATAATATCAGCTTGCGGGCTAGCCGTCTCCATGGAATTCGGGTGCATGCTACCTCGCTCAGGAGGAACAAAGGTAAAGCGCATCTGCAGAATTGCAGAAAGCTGTTCAGCTAAATTTACTTACTTGCGCAGGTGTACCTCGAGTATACCTATCCCCGACCGCGGTTTCTCGCATCAAGCCTCATAACAGCCCAGGTAGTGCTCCTGGGGTTCACGGCGAGCAATTGCATAATCTTTTCGAAATATGCGTTCTTCGCGCTTAGTATTCAGCCCACTGAGCTTCAGCATAAGGTCCTTGCTGTTGGTCTCTTGACTGCCATTACTATTGTCCATGGCTGTTTCTTGAAAACTGGCATCTTCATCCAGAATGTCCTTGGTTGGGTGAAGATATTTCTCATTGCCGCGATGTCCTTGACGGGAGTCTGGGTGGTTTTTCTGGGTTTGTATGGAGATACTAATAATATATCTCCAGTTCCAGGGGTCGCCAGCTCATTTTCTTGGAATTCGATGTGGGAAGGATCGAACTGGAGCTGGAGTCTACTTTCATCGGCTTTGTTCAAAGTCTACTACTCCTACGCTGGGTTGAGCAATGTGAACAATGTCCTCAGTGAGGTTCATGATCCCGTGAAGATAGTCAAGACTGTGTGTCCTACTGCGCTAGTCACAGCCGGTGGTCTATACTTTCTTGCGAATCTTTCATACTTCCTCGTCATTCCGCTCGAAGAGATCAAAAATAGCGGGGAGTTAGTGGGAGCACTGCTATTCGAAAGGTTATTTGGGGAGCATGTTGGAAAGATATTCTTCCCACTTGCTATAGCCATTTCAGCTGCCGGGAATGTGATGGTAGTGACCTTTGGCTTGGTATGCTTTTGGAACTACTAGCATGGCTTTGAAAGCCAATATACTAACATTTAGTAGGCACGTGTGAACCAAGAGATAGCCCGACAAGGCTTTCTTCCCTGGCAAAATGTTCTCTCGTCCTCGCGGCCGTTTGGGACTCCACTGGGTGGACTTATTGTGCACTATATCCCTTCTGCCTTGGTCCTCGCCCTACCACCACAAGGGGACGTCTATAACTTTATCTTGGACTTGGAGGGATACCCAGGACAGATGTTTTCCTTGGCAATCACAGTCGGTCTGCTGGTAGTACGATACCGGGAGCCTCATCTTCCACGACCCTTCCGAGCATGGTTGCCAGCTGTCTGGTTACGGGTTGTGGTATGTCTAGTCCTGCTAGTAGCACCTTTCATACCGCCACCGAATTGGCGGGACGTCGATTTCTTCTACGCTACATATCCACTTGTCGGGATTGGGATGTGAGTAGCAATCCTTCCATGTGTGAGTTGCCTCGCTAACAAACACAGTATGCTCTCGGGTGTTCTCTACTGGTATTTCTGGACAGTGTTACTCCCACAATGGGGAGGATATCAACTCGAGGAAGAGAAAGAGATTCTGGCCGACGGGACTAGCATCATCAAGCTCGTTCATTCATATCATAAGTGAAGCGAAAGTAGGAATAAAGAAAAAAAAAAGCAAATTTGACTCATCCGTGGCTTGTCCTCCAGGGCTGCAGCATAGCAATAATTTAGAGATTCTCCATGGCACAAATTGCGTCACGGACATCAGCTCCAAGCACAGTTCCAGCGTCGGTGTCACGAGTGGAGGTATCACCAGAGTCATACGTCTTGTCTTAAACAAGGGATTCAGGGAGTTCTGATCCTGAAACACAACGGGCTAATGTAACCAGTGTTGACCGATTAAGATATTCGCCGGCAGAGGGCCAAAAACGCGTAGCTTCAACCTTTTCCGCAACGGCGTCACTGGCTCCTCGTCTCTTTGCATTCAGGTACGCAATAATGAAACAGAATTACAAATACCGTCGGCGAGGACGGTTGACGGAAATGAATGCGCAGGAACGCGGACGATCGAACGGGGCGGAATGATAGTGTGTTTTGCTGCGTAGACTGCACGCCGCGCCGCGTGATGGGGCTTAATATTATCTGCTAGTGTGATGCCCAGGTGCCTAAGCTGTATGAGTCAGTCATTTCCTTGGCCACGAAGAGAACATTCTTACCATTGCGGGGGTCACTAAGAACTCCATCGCTGACTCCGAATAGGTGGGAAACTTCTCTGGATGTCATAGGTTTCGGTACAAGGTGGGCAGCTTTGATATTCTTTTTGGGAAGTATAGTGCCTAACACATGACACCACCCAAAGCCAGGGTGACAATGCTCATTAACACCGTAGTACGTATAAACGGCCTTTATGAACCTGGACTGATCAAAGTTGGGACCCTTAAGGCGATAAGCTGATGAAAGGTAAGACAGACTTGGTGCTAGTGATGAAAAGGGATCAAGGAAATGTGAAGAAAGGTGAGACAGACGGATGAGGTCTTTTATGGAATGAGCTGTGACGTTAAGAAGAGACTCTTCCTAAGGTTAGACTGATGGAAGGTGCCAAGCTGAAGTAAAAGAAAAGCAACTATGATTCGGATTTGACATGACAGAGCCAAATGTCGGACCTAATTAGGCGGGACTATAATTCCAACCTTGGAAGGTTGAGGTCCTCTACGTTCGCATTCTCGACATTCCAAGGTTCTCTGCTTTACTTGCCTTGACAGACTTCAATCCGTTAATACTCTCAAAAACATTGCAAGTCGTTTTGGCAGGGTTAACGCTTCCGATTTCGAAATGAGGCTCTGGACCGAGAAAGGGATTCGGACTGATATCCATGGATATAGCTGGTCCTATGGATTAGCCCTCTGCGTCCGTACACTTCCAAGGTTCCTTTCTTTCCTTCTTCTACAAACAATACTTCGACTATACCCGTGGACAGTGACAGTGCTGACGCATATCATGATCACTTTATGGATTAGTTATTGGCTTCATATTCTCATTAGATAATATAGGATGCTTGTTTTGTCTAAAAAGGAGGAACCCCTGGTCCCTAGTAGGTGGATAATGTTCAGGACTTTCATTGTCCACCTGTAATGCATGTAGAAGATGAGGTTTGACTTCCCAGAGCAATTGTGCACAAACAAACAGAGGCTTCCTCTTTTACTTCCTTTCTTCTTCCTTCTTTCCTTCCTTCCTCTCTTTCCCTCTCTCTCTCGTTCTCTATTTTTCTATTTTTCTCTCTGCTTTTCTCCCATCTCCTCTCCTATTCACCTTCCCCATGTCGAATACAGCATACAGATCTCTCCCTGTCTCCGTTCTGCTGATTGCTCAAATCACTTTCCCCAGTTACTTGGAGTTGCCTCTGAGCAAGTGATTGCCTCGCCATGACATCGATTCCTGTGAGGCCCGATAGGCCCCCTCCTCCGTGTCCCTCCTGGGTCTTCTCTGACAAGTCCGACACCCAGTTGGTATTCCCCACTTCACAGGGCTGAATGCATCCATCTAACGAAACCAGTGTTGCCAAAGATCGCTGTTGGTTTGGTAAAGACTACATCCCCTTTACATCCCATTTCACAGATATAACCGGGGGCAGGGCGGAAGTCATTGGGATGGGAACCGTCGATCTCGCCACCATGAGCCCGCGGACCCAGACTGATCCGGGTTCGCCTAGCAACCTCCGCTTGAAGAATGTTCTGCATGCCCCTGCAGCGCTCTGCAACATCATCGGAAAGCCCGTGACGGACGATTACACTGTTATACGCGGCTCCACTGACTCAGATTACCCTGGTTTCATTGTGAAGAACACTAATGGTAATATCGTGGCCTACTTCAAGCCCAAGGATCAAGGGCCCGATCTGTACCAAGTCCAGCTTGGTGAGCCTCCATTAGGCCATGAGTTCGGGATTTCGCCTTTGTGCCCTAACGGGAACTACCTGATCCACGCCTTCTTTTCCCAGCGTGAACGGCACAGATTTGTAATCTTTAAATTCTCTGGTCTGATTCGAGCCTCAGGCGTTGAGTCATTCACCCCGACCGAAAATAAGTGGTTCAGGAAGAACCGCATGTCTGAAAAGGCAATTCGTGTTGCGTACGGGTTGGATCCCAACAGGAAGGAACATCAAGAGGAATGCCGTGCCATCATGCGAATTCTTAAGTGCCAAGCCGAAAATGAACCGTTCTTACCCTACTAAGATCCGGCGTGACTATTGAGAGGAAATGAGAGGAACCAATCTTTATTGCTGGATGGCGACTTCCCAGGTGTGGTTAAGGAAATCGTCAAAATCATCAGTCTCCCAAAGCTCCATGTGTGTTCGAAATACCCCAATGAAGCGACATCGCAATGACCATGCCTCCTTCACACATAGTCTGGCAAAGATGTAAGACGGGCTGAATGTCAAGCCCGTCCTAATCCCAGATATCGAGTGTAGATTCTGGACTCCAGGCATCGTCCATGTAGCTAGTTACATATCAGAGAATGCCTTCGAGGAGGCAACATCTCCATCTAGATGCGAAGCACAACCTTTCCAACTTGTTTACCCTGCCAAACATATTCAACAGCCTCTTCGGCTTTCTCAAATGGAAATGTTTTGTCAATGAGATCATTCAGCGGTGTTTGAGCTGCTGATAGCGCAGCACACAGGTCCTCCATATCATGCTTTGACCCTGCATTGATACCTCTGTTTGTCCCAAGTCAGACTTTAGTGTCCAATAATCAATCATCATAGAATAAATCTCACCTCAGATTAATCCTTCGATCAATAATAGTTGGGATCAGCTCCCGAAGGTCGTTAGGGTCCTGCCGTGAAAGATATCCGACTTGGCTGACCACGCCGCCACGTCGAGTACATCTCATACTCTTAACCAAGGAGCTAGATCCGCCATTTTCAACAATGATGTCCACGCCAACGCCATTGGTCAACTCGAGAACCTCCTTGTCCCAGTCGGGCGTTTGAGAGTAGTTTATCGTCATGATCGGCGGGTTTGCACACTTGACCTTCATTTGTTCGAGTTTCTTGTCACTCGAAGATGTCAATATAACCCGCAGCCCCGCAGCTCTTGCAAGCTTGAGTGCAAAGACACTGACACCTCCGGTGCCTAGTTCAGTTGTTAGCGTTGAACCAAGCTTCAGCCCCAGGAAGTACATACCTTGGATCAACACAGTCTGCCCAATCCTCATGCCCTTCAAGGCCGACCAAGCAGTAACACCAGCACAGGGTATCATAGCAGCCTCAACCCAGTCAAGGTAGTCGGGGAGCTTACACAGAACATCCTCGTCAAAAACAATATGATCCGCCATAACTCCATCCTCGTCTGCTGCCAGCCACGACCGCTTCACTTCACGCCCTGAAATGTTCTCAGTGTCCGTAATAGGCCCGGCCCTATCTCCGACCGCTAACGTCTTCACTTTCTCCCCAATTGCGAGGACCTCGCCCGCCGCGTCGTTGCCCAAAATCCCATTTGGGATCACTGGCCATGGATTCCCTCCGTTCGCGATGTTGGCGTCGCGGTAGTTAAGAGCGACGGCATGCACTTTGATTAAGACCGCAGTCGGTGCAAGTGGTAGCGCGAGCGCTTCTTGTACGAGCTTTAACTTGGGCTTGCCTGGTGTATAATCGTCTGTTCGTCTGAAGGCTCGACGGTGGCTAATTTGAGGGCTTGACATTTCTTTTTTTGGGCTTTGATGGTGGGAATGATAGGTCAAGTTGATGAAATTGTTCTGGGTTTATACTGGAGATCCTTGCATGTGCCGACGTCACTTTAATATGCCGGAATCCGCCTACCCCTCCTTCTGGATATATGCCTTCCTCATTCTGAATAAATGCGATTGAACGTGGGGTAATTGTTAATTCTGGGGTCGGGTTTCGCGTCTACGGACAGAATAAGGACCCGCGGGTCGTCCTCTTAGGAGTAGATGCTTAGTAGGAATGATATATTACATCCTGGCTGGTTTGATTACTGGGCTTGTAGATGAGATACCCTAGACATAAATAAGCTAAATAAGTTCAGTAAATGAACTAGAATCCTTATTGAATTGAAGCAGTCACTTCTTATGTGTTGGAATTACCTATTGCGCTAACCCGAAAAGAGTAAACAAACGCTCTCGCGATAATACCTATAGGTAGCTAGCTCCCTCACAGCAATAAATCGATATCCAGGGATGCCATAGTGATGAATAAATGATACAGACAGCCCACATCCTGTATTAATGTTGTGATACCTAGTGTTTCATGAAGCAACTTATGCAAAGCCTTGAGCAATAGAGCTCAGCTTGAACATCCAGAGTCGGAGCTCTATCCGTTGCATGCGAGGATACAGTTGCATGCCTATGTTGGCCGCAAATGGTCCATTGGGCAATATTTTCGAGTCATGAGCCAATTGAACGCCTGTTCATATGCGACCAAGCCTACAATGACTCAACCTTGCAAGTGAAAGCAATGTGGTACGTAATAGCCTTGGAGAAGCCAGAAGAAGGTCCGGCCCAGCGTTTTTCCTTGCCAAGGCGGTCAGGTGATTCCCGATTAAATTTGTCCGAAATGATTCCGCCTCCAGTTCACAGAGTCCCATTCTCAATTCCACATCACACTATTCATAATGTTCCAACGGACCATCCTCAGACAGGCTCAGGCCGCCCGCTCCATCCTCTCCACCACTTCCCCCTCCACAGCATCGCTGGCGCTGCGACGGACCACACAACAACCACGTCTCCCGGCTTTCCGGCCATTCGCTCCCGGTCTACCCGTCTCTACTCAACGGAGACCAAGGAAGCCGCCGAAGCTGAGAAAACCGAGAACGGTGAGAACGGTGAGAACGCAGAGGCCGAGGATCCCGTCAAGAAGGAGCTCGAACAGAAGACCAAGGAAGCCATTGAATTCAAGGTAAGCTAGTTCCCCATACTGGTAGCTCCGCAGCTCTTTCGCGGGCGAATATTAACCCAAACTTCTTATTAGGACAAATGGCTCCGCTCCGTCGCCGAATCCCGCAACCTTGTTGAGCGCAACAAGCGCGACATGGACGCCGCCCGCAAGTTCGCCATCCAAGGTTTCGCCAAGGACCTCCTCGACAGCATCGACAACTTCGACCGCGCATTGCTGGCCGTGCCCGCGGAAAAGCTCGCTGCTGCTAAGACCGAAGAGAACAAGGCCCTCCATGATCTCGTCGACGGTCTCCACATGACCCAGAAAATCCTCCTAAACACTCTCCAGAAGCACGGTCTCGAGCGCTTCGACCCCTCCGAGAAGGTCGACGGCAAGGCCCAGAAGTTCGACGCAAACCTGCACGAGGCTACCTTCATGGCCCCGGCTGCTGGTCTCGAGGATGGCGATGTTATGCACGTCCAGAGCAAGGGCTTCCGTCTTAACGGCCGCGTTCTGCGGGTGAGTACCTACTAAGACCCAAGATTTTCTAGCGGAGTATTATGACTAACTGCTTTCTTCATTTGTAGGCTGCCAAGGTCGGTGTCGTCAAGAACGCTTAAATCGTCGACGATAACTTCGATTCTTAATCCTTCGATCTTCTGATTCTTCCGGCATTTTCACATTTCTTTTATTTCTCTCTGTACCATATGTCATACATCATGATCACGATAGGGCTTTATACTCGGATACGGCTGGCTTTTGGACCCGGGAAAATTACTCTTCCTTGCTACCTTTCTGCTTGTCTCTTGGATTCGGCTGTATGATACACCCTTGTTGCATGTGTCTGGAGGCGTACGGATTGTCTCATGTTGGGGGTATCTTTCACTTGTTTTGTGACGTCTGTACCTCTATGTCCCCAGGTAACTCTCTCCTCCTCACTGTATAATACACACTTCTTCGGGGCACTGTTATAGCCTCTGGTGTTCTTCATTCTCCTTCCGCCTTCGGTAACTAAATTAGACTTTAATCAAAGACAAAGCTGGCTATGGTCTATACCTATTGGAATCCTAGCTTAGTGATATCCATGTATATATCGATATTACCCTGATGAGAGGAATGCTATATCTTACATATTCCCCATAATAGTCACAGTATAGTACAAAGTATAACCCAACAATCTCCCAACTCACCTCAGCTCAACTCCAAGCTCTCCAACTAGCTTTTCCCGGACCTTCTGATGCATCTCATTACTCTCCTCATTCGTCAAAGTCCGCTCCAAGCTCCGGTAGTTAATGCGGTAGCACATGCTCTTACGCGAAGTCTTCGGATGCGTAAACTCATCAATGAGAGTAACATCCTCAACAAGGTCGCCGCCAATTCCACGAACAATCTCCATAACATCATTCTCATGGAAAGGCACAGCCCCACCAGCAGCACTGTTACCACCCGTCACAGCCGCAGGAGGCAACCAGAAAGCAACATCCTTATAGCAAGCCGGGTGCTTCGAGAAAGGCTCAAAACGGGCAATATGACCAGCCCGGAACTGCGACAAGAACCGCTCGTCACGAGACCAGAACAGCCGAATATCAGGGATGTTGAAAAGAAGCATAGCAATGCGCTCAATGCCCAGACCAAACGCCCATCCAATCCGATCCGGCACGTCCGAGTTGATCAACAGATCCTGCTTGATAACGCCGCACCCCAGAATCTCCAACCAGTCACCTTGCCAGAAAACCTCTAGCTCCCAAGACGGACTGGTGAACGGGAAGTAAGCCTCGACCCAGCGCACCTTGAGCGGCTCCTGCTCCGCACCACCGCTACTCGCCGCAGCGGCCTTGCTCGCTTCCGTGAAGATCTTAATCACCATCCGCTCGAGGGAACGCTTCAGGTGCGCAGCCACAGCCTCGACCTCCTCGGCGCTGTGGTGCTCGTCCTGCAGCGGGTTCCGCTGCGCGTGGATAGTCGGGTTCGGATCCTCGACTACGACGTCGTGCCGCGGGATCTTCTCCACATCAGCCATGATCCGCGCTGCTGTTTCGGCTGAGGCGGAGAGTGGATCCGTCGCCGGCCGCTTCCATAGCATCGCGCCTTCCATCTGGTGGAAGACGGGGTAGTGGCTGCGGTCGATTGCGTCGCGACGGTAGACGTCTGCGATCACGGTGTATCCGACCTCCTCTGGACGGGTGTGTTCGTTGCGGGCGATTTGCTGGAAATATGCCTGTTGGTGCGCGCTTGTGTGTGTGCGCAGCACGGTCTTGTCGTTCACGTAGTAGGTATCTGTGCGGCTGCGGCCTGGGTGGTCCGCGGGGAAGCCGAGGACGTCGAAGTTTTGTCTTGTTGAGACGACGGGGTTCTTCTCTGAGTAGTTTCCATAGCTCGGGGCTGGGAATTGGCTTTCAATGAGTTTGCGTGTAATGGCGAGAGGGTGGTTGTCGTCGAGGTAGAGTCGTCGTCCGATATGGGATAGGATTGTATCGGGGGTGTTGGTCCACTGGTCGGTTGGGTAAGTCTCCCCTTCAAGCTTGAGGCTAGATTGTTGCTGAGGTGTTTTGGAGGTAGTGGTTGCTTTCTGTTCACTCCGGCGAGCTGTGGTTGAGCTCCATTCGCGGTTGAGGGAGAGAATGGGAGTCCGTGGGATGGAGCGCGGAATCGCAATCTGGGGCCGGATTGAGGCAATTGACCAACGGCCACTGCTTGCGCGCAGGGCTCGGCCGGTAGCGAATAGCCTCATGGTTGAGTTGGGCGTTGTGAGAATTGTCCGTCAATGCTATCAACCTATCAACATACGTTCGGGTCGGCGAAATTAGTCCCCGAAGTACATTGTCGAATCTGCTCAACCAAGAATATAGATCGCTTAGCATTCACCTCTTTTTCGAAGAGAGAGACGTATGAAGCTCTTTCTAATTGCTGCAGCTCTTAGCCCGAATCATTTCAATCTTATTTCTAAATCAAGGTTTCCCTGTCTACTACGCAGTTTGCACCACTTCACAAAATATACATCTCTTTTAGTACACAGTCGAACCAGAACAAAAGCAAGCTGTTGGTTGATATTGCGTCCTATTTCAGCTCTTTGCTTTTCCTTTTATACGTGCGACATTGTTGGAGTGCAAATACTATGTATTCCATCTGCGCCGAGAGGAACCCGCGAAAAGAAATATATCGATACCTAATTCTAGTCATTAGAATATCTTATACCTCCCGTTATACTCCGATTACATCACAACTATATACCTCTAGAGTTCTAGGTAGCGTTTATGCATATGGTATCTTGCCCCTCCCGTAGAACCCCTCGGTTGTCCGACTCCAACCGGTCAATATCCGTAAAAACTCCGAAGATCCGCATGATAGCCGATTCCCGTCATGTCAGCCGTTCTATAGAAGCTTATTATAATGGCTGTATGCGCAGAGATACCCTCGGCGTCCAATTCAACGACCGAAGCAGGATGATATCCCTGGGTGCCTGGGCCAGCCAGGGCTGTATGTCCCATACCAGATGTTATCCGGGGCAAAGGAAAAGACAGCAAACCCGAGAATATGATTGGTGCAAGTGATAGGCCCCATCAAGATACTCGATCTGATTGGCTGTTTCTTTACATTCGGCGGCTGGCCAAGTGGTTTCGGAGTCTGATTTGTCTCCGTCGGTATTTAAAGGGCCAAACTTGGAAAAATTACGTCAAGTCACGTTCGAAAAGCCGAGAAAAGGCCTAAAAAAATTACATGTCTTTCTGACTCTCCCCGCCTTTTTTTTACTGTGTATATTTAGGGGTCTTGTTTCCCAGCAAGATGGCAGACAGCGGCAAGATGTTGGAGGCTGCTCCTCACTCCCGGGTCGTGCCCGTTCAGACGCCCGCGCAGTCAAAGCCGAAGCAGCTGCATTACCCGTTTTGGTTTGGGGGTTCGGCCTCATGCTTCGCGGCGTCCGTGACGCACCCGTTAGATTTAGGTACGTTCTTGGTTATCCCCTCAATTTATGTACTATATGCTGACTCGCCTACAGTTAAGGTAATTGGACGCTCCAAGCCGTTCGAGACAATGGCCCATGCCCGCGATTCCGAACCCCGGCGCTGATATCTGTTTGTCGCATACTAGGTCCGGTTACAAACTCGTGCGCCCGATGCGCCGAAGACTATGGTCGGGACGTTTGTACACATCTTGAAGAACAATGGCTTCACAGGGTTATACAGTGGTGTATGTGCGATCCCAACATCCGGTTGATAGCGAATACCAATGGCTATCAGTACGCGGGTACAGTTGGCTAACGAAGGGATGGATTGGATATGGTATAGTTGTCAGCTGCGATGCTACGTCAAATCACATATTCCACAACGCGCTTCGGTATCTACGAAGAATTGAAGTCGCGCGTTGCTCCCACCTCAGACCGCGCACCAAGTCTGGTCACCCTCATTGGCATGGCCTCCGCCTCCGGATTCATCGGCGGCATTGCAGGAAACCCAGCCGATGTTATGAACGTCCGCATGCAACACGATGCATCTCTCCCTCCCGCCCAGCGCCGCAACTACCGAAACGCAATCCAGGGAATCATTCAAATGACCCGAACAGAGGGATTCAGTTCTCTCTTCCGCGGAGTGTGGCCTAACTCCACCCGCGCAATCCTCATGACTGCCTCGCAGCTCGCTTCTTACGATACATTCAAGCGATTGTGTATTGAGAAGGCTGGTATGGCTGATAATCTGAGCACACACTTCACAGCCTCGTTCATGGCGGGCTTCGTTGCTACCACTGTCTGCAGTCCTGTGGACGTGATCAAGACTCGCATTATGACGGCTTCTCATGCGGAGGGCGGTGGTCAGAGCATCATTGGTCTTCTGCGTGATATCTGCCGCAAGGAAGGCCTGGCATGGACTTTCCGTGGGTGGGTGCCTAGCTTCATCCGTCTTGGTCCTCATACCATTGCCACTTTCCTCTTCCTCGAGGAGCACAAGAAGCTCTACCGCAAGTTGAAGGGCGTTTGAAGATCCAAAGAGTGATTTGTTCCTTTTTGTGACTCTCTTTTCCCCCGCCGATTCTTCCAAATCTTAAAACAACATTTACGCCTTCCGTCCGATATATCCTCGGTATATACGACTTCTTGCCATTTCCTCTGGTTTTCTACTTGGGTGGTGCACACTGAGACCCATGCACACCATTTTCATTTTGGCTTGTATATAGCTTGCATTCTTTCGGATGTTTCTTTCATCGGAGGTTCGAAAAATGGCCGTCCCCGGCCTCGAAGCATATCTAGATCATGGCCCTGTGGCCTTGTACAGTATGCTGGATGATATAATTTTTTTCTTATCGGAGGTGGGATTACATAGAATTAGATTTATACACACTGAATCGCATACAGAGCATTTCCGCAAGGACATGATGGTTCCTGCTCGATATTCTAAGTTGTCTTTCTTGGTTCGCAACTATTGCAATACGGATGAATGTACAACAAAGGGACTGCCCATACGTCAAAAGAGTCAGAGCAAGCACCAGATAACAAAACATTTCCCTTTACAATACGAGTTTATCAACACCCTTTCTTGCCTTATACGGACGGAACGACCTAGAAAAATGTAGGGGTTGTGTCCCCGCGTGACCCAGTAGAGTACATTGGAAACTTGTCGATACATAAAAAATTTGACACGGCTCACTTGACCAACCAAAAACAGCTGTTGATTATCTACTTGTCAAGGTGGACAGGGAAGTTGCCAGCCTCTGTTAACACAAGTTAGTATAAATGAACACATATCCAGAGGAGACTGCTAGGTGCGTACCGCGCTGACCGTCCCAACGATCGGTCCAGGCCTTGGGGCAAAGAGAGCGGAAGGCGTGGTAGAACTGTGAGAGACGCTGTTAGAAGCTGCTGGGATTTGAGGGTATTGTCGGTGTTGATATTACCTGCTTGCAGGGGCGGAAGTCCTCGCCCTTGGCAGTGGTGCACTTGTAGTAGTCGACATAGTTCTGCCAGCAGTGCTTGGTCCTGCGGAGCGAATCAACGTTAGAAAAATATAAAAGGCACCCGAATAATAGCTTATCACGTACTGGTTCTGCTGGGGGAAACGGGCATCGTAGCCTGCCATTCAATCGAAAATTGTCAATTACACCATACATCAGCCGATCGGGGGAATATCGGTCCACGCGCATGCGACGAGCGAAAGAAGCGGAAAGATATCAAGGTTTACGCACCAGCTGCAATTGAATTAGCCATTGACTCTCTAAAGGGCTCCTGGCCCCGGTTTTCTCGGGAGGGGGTAGTGGACTTACCAGTCACGAACTTGAAGGGCTTGGTCTCGAGGACCTCATCGGGGTCGGCTTCCGGAATAGCACCCATATTTGCGATGTGCAGCTTCGAGAGAAACAACACAGAGGAAGAATTCGAGTGGAGTGGAAACAGAGGAGGGGAGAAAGTGAGCCGGGAAGAGCGACGTTGGGTGATTGAAGCTGTGAAGTGCCGGATATGACCGCGGGCGGTCAAGCGAGAGCCACTGAGCGTCTCGCTTTTACACCCGAGCCAGTCACGTTCTCGGAAAGCTGGTGTTCCAACCTCGTCCTCTATCCCACTCTTCTTCTGCTACTCCAGGGTTGAACCACTGATCTCGCCATGTATCCCACTCGCATGCTGCGGATGCAGCCCACTCGGGCCTTCTACTTCCCTACTCCTGTATGTTCTTCCCTTCGGCAATGATCTTAGTGATCATACGATCCCTCGGTTACTAACTCGTGTCTGTAGAAGGAGCAACAAAGTGGTACGCATCTCTGGGGTCACTAGATCTAGTGATAATCAGGGCCATGTAGAATGGCTTTACTTTTATGGGGACAGCCATTGAACTAACCATGCGCCTACAGCCCACACTATCTCCCAGCGTCTGCGCCAGCTCAAGCGTGTGCCCCCCCGAGCTGCTCCCTATCGGTATGTGCTATAGTCATGACTTTGCGATCGGAAATCGAGCTAACGGTCTATTTGATATTTAGGCTTCGTCCTTGCGTACGTTTCTCCCTGTTTGATACTATCTACCGCTTGATTCCGGGAACCTATTGTCCGACACATGCCGGAATTTTATCCCCCTATGACCCATCACTGGCAATCGAGCTCATGTCATTCCTTGATGCTAACTCATAATTTTAGTGTTGCCATCGGTGCTGCTGTCTACTCTTCTTGCAAGAAGCTGATGACGGACAAGACCCTGCGTCTCTACCGCAACAGCCCCGAGAGCCGTGAGCACTAAATGTACCACTATGTTTCTTTGAGCTCTCAGAATGCGATCCTCAGTTTTTGGATTCTTGCCACTTGTATTGTTGATTAGGAGAATTTGAAGCCGATCGGCATGATTTGAGAAAAGCCAGTGGAGAAAAAAAGGAACGGGCTCGAGCTTCGAGCCGTGTATATATTCTGGCTTCCCGGGCCTGAATCCTGGTGGTGTAATTGGCAAATTGTACTGTCGTGCGACACTTGCTTTTTTGGTTTGTCATCTTCGTCGTAGCTATCGTAAAGTGTAGCGTGCTTCACTCGGGCTTCGGCCCAGCAACATCTAATTGTTCCAATCCCTGCATGGGATCCTGGGGACGACTGCTTGCAGACAGAGCCTCCTCTGCCGCTATCCGATCCTCCTCGCTGACAGCATGTTTGGCCAAATACCCCTCCTGTAGGACATACCGGTTAGTATAGACCGCAAGTAGGTATAAAATCGAGTGCAACGCACCTGTTCCCAGATCGCAGTCTTGCTGCCTAGGCCCTCGTTGGCATCCTTCTGAGGCTTTGCAGCGGCGACTTTGATGGTGCGCCCGTAGATCTCGCTGCCATCCATATTGTCGATTGCCTCTTTGGCGTCTTGCGGCAGATCAAATTCCACATATCCAAATCCACGGTGAACTTCGGTGGAGTTGGGTTGGTCTGGTTTGGGCAGCGAGATATCAACGACTTCGCCGAATGGAACGAAAGCTTCCGCAAGTGTGTGCGCGGTCACTCCCTGGTCAAGACCTCCCACGTAGACGGTGCTCTTAAGCCGCGTAGTTTCGCTCATGATGTGTAGTTGCGCTTTGGGTGAAATTGGTAGGTGTTTAATTCGGGTGGCAATATGACAATATTGCACGGAATAGTAGAAGAGAAAAGTGCGTGAAACAACAAACTAAGCTTTTCTGTTCGAGAATCTGAATCCAAGCTGTATCTTGCTATCAGCTCAAAACGGAAGATTGATATCACGTGCAGCTCACCTCGGAGAGTCTACGGGTGTTTTGGCGAGTCTCAAAGCGGTCTAGCGCGTGTTCCCCGGTCCCTCCAAGTCCAGGAGGCCACTTGGTTACTGCTATACTTGGAACATCTAGAGTATCACCCCATTGTCAATTATTCATAGGGGGTGGTTCTTGATCCCTCTTCTTCCTCATTACTTGAGTTTCATTGTTTCTTGGGCGATACCTTTTACATACTCTATTGGTCTCGATCCTCACCGAAACATACCTCCCCTGCCATCATCATGGTGCGTCTGAGGGAAATCCCAAGGACGGCCACCTTCGCCTGGTCACCTGGGGCTGCGTCGCCATTGATCGCAACTGGAACTCGCGCTGGCGCTGTTGACGTCGACTTCTCCAACAAGACATGTCTCGAGCTGTGGGATCTGGGCCTTGACCGCGAAGATGCGAGCGAGGAGCTGCAGCCGCTAGCTAAGTTCGATACGGACTCCGGGTAAGAGTGTCTTTTGGAAATTGAACGAGAATGAGCATGCTAACTGATTAATGTAACTAGCTTCAATGATGTGGCCTGGACAACGTCCGAAGACAACAAACGGGGTGTGATCGCGGGTGGCTTGGAAAACGGCTCGCTGGAGTTGTGGGATGCTGATAAGCTACTTGCTGGATCCAGGTTGGTTGAACTCTACATATGAACCACACTCCCGGGATAGCTTACTGATCGTACAATTTCAGTGATGCGTTGATCTCAAGAACCACTAAGCACAGCGGCGCCATCAAGACCCTTCAGTTCAACCCGAAACACCCGAACCTTCTGGCAACCGGTGGCGCAAAGGGAGAGGTAGGCTGCGATTCGATGGTAATTGGATGGATATGTGGCTAATTACTGGGTAGCTCTTCATCTGGGATCTAAACAACATCGAGAACCCATTCCGGTTGGGCAACAACGCCGCCCGCACAGATGATATCGACTGCTTGGATTGGAACAGGAAGGTTCCTCATATTCTGGTCACTGGTAGCAGCTCCGGCTTTGTGACGGTCTGGGATGTCAAGACGAAAAAAGAGAGTCTGACACTGAACAACAAGGCCCGGAAGGCTGTCAGTGCAGTCGCGTGGGACCCCGAAAGAGTACGTTGGCACGTTCTACGTGGTTATTTCAGGATTGCTGACCATTTTCACGTCTAGCCCACAAAGCTCATTACATCGTCACCGCTCGAGTCAGACCCGGTGCTTTATGTCTGGGACCTGCGCAACTCCCACGCCCCGGAGCGGGTAGGTTACTCGTTCAGAGTCCAGGTGTGACTTAATACTGATATTATTTGTATAGACACTCACCGGCCACGAGTCCGGTGTGCTTTCACTTTCTTGGTGCGAGCATGATCCTGACCTCCTCCTTTCTTCCGGCAAAGATAACCGTAATATCTGTTGGAACCCCCAAACCGGTCAAGCATACGGAGAGTTCCCCGTTGTCACGAACTGGACCTTCCAGACCCGCTGGAACCCCCACAACCCCAACTTCTTCGCAACCGCGTCGTTTGATGGAAAGATCTGTGTCCAGACCCTCCAGAACACGAAGAGCGATAGCGCCCAGGCCATTGCCGATCACAACCAAGCCTTGGACGGTGAAGACTTCTTTAACAAGGCGCAAACCCAGCCCCAAGTCTCCAAGTTCTCTCTCCCGAAAGCTCCTCGCTGGCTTGAGCGGCCCTGTGGTGCTACATTTGGTTTTGGAGGTCGGGTCGTTTCCTTCGGTCTGACTGAGAAGGGCTCTCGTACATCCAGTATCAAAATCACATCGTTCGAAGTTGATGAGACCGTTGGCAATGCCACCGAAAGCTTTGAGACTGCATTGAAAGAGGGCGATATTCGCACACTCTGTGAGTCGCGCGCTTCAGGTGCTTCCAGTGAAGCAGAAAAGGCAGACTGGAAGGTGATGCAGGCTTTGATTTCCGAAAATCCACGCAAGGGCTTGGTGGAGTACCTTGGATTCCAGGATCAAGCTGATGAGGCCGCCGATAGTCTCGCGCAGCTTGGTTTGGACAAGAAGGAAGGCGAGGACACCAACGGCGCTCCCGCCAAACCCGCTGGAGTCAAGAAGCACAAGCGTTTGCAATCCATGTTCGATGCGAACCCCGAAGGTGACAACTTCCTCTCTGAACTGGCTGCTTCCAAGGGTGCTCAAACCAACAACCCATTCCAAATTTTCAATGGCTCAGAAAGCCAGGCAGAGAAGCAAATCACTCGTGCTTTGCTCCTTGGGGAGTTCGAGAAAGCTCTGGATGTTGCCCTCCGGGAGGATAAGATGTCTGATGCTTTCATGATTGCTATTTGCGGCGGCCCCAAATGCATCGAAAAGGCGCAGGAGTACTACTTCTCCAAGCAGGCAGCCGGTCCGAACTATATGCGCTTGCTCGCGTCTATTGTGGGTAAGAACCTGTGGGATGTGGTGCATAATGCCGACTTGTCCAACTGGAAGGAAGTTATGGCTGCCTTGTGTACCTTTGCCGACGAGAAGGAATTCCCTGATCTCTGCGATGCTCTCGGTGACCGTCTGGAGGAGCAGATCCAGAACAGCGACGATAAGAGCGCCCGCAAGGATGCTTCTTTCTGCTTTTTGGCAGGTTCGAAGCTTGAGAAGGTTGTTGCTATCTGGGTTGAGGAGCTCCGCGAGAATGAGCAGAAAGGAATTGAAAGCAACACTGACAACTCTTCCTTCTCTATCCATGTCCGTGCTCTGCAGGGTCTGATCGAGAAGGTTACCATCTTCCGCCAAGTCACCAAGTTCCAGGATACCGAGCGGAACAAGGACTCGGATTGGCGCTTGAGCGTCTTGTACGACAAGTACATTGAATATGCCGATGTTGTCGCTACCCATGGACGCCTGCAAATTGCTCAGAAGTACCTCGACCTTGTCCCCGAGAAGCACCCCGAAGCTGAAGTGGCCCGCAACCGCATCAAGCTTGCCACAAGACAGGCACCCCAGCCCGCTGCCGGAGTCAAATCTGGCTTCAAGCCCCTCCCGCAACAGCCCAATTTGTACCAGCCGGCGCAGACTTTCAACCCTGCTGCTACTCCAACACCAGTTGCTGCTCCTAACATTTATGCACCACCTGCGCCTGCTGTTACCCAGCAGGCTAATCCGTATGCACCCCCAGCGACCTCCTCGCCAGCTCAGCCTGCCAACCCCTACGCTGCTATGTCGACAGGAGGCGCCTACGGATCGGCAGCTGGGTATCAGCCAACTCAGGGCATGAGGCCTACCAGTTATACTCCACCATCCGCATTCGGCGGACAACAGCCCGCAGGTGCTGGTGTCCCTCCCCCTCCTCGGGCGTCATCTAACCAGTCGCCGGCCAACACAGTCACAACATACACCACGGCCACTGGCCTTCCTGCATGGAATGATTTGCCAGAAGGCTTTGCGAAGGCTCCTACACCCCGCCGTGCAACTCCTGCCGCAACCTCTGCGCCAATCGCCTCTCCTTTCCCCAACCAGTCACCGAATCTGCCCCAGGGACCTCCCCCGGTTGGTGCTCCACGCGCACCATCCGTGCCTCCCCCACCAAAGGTGGGCTCGGTGCCTCCGCCGCCCCGCATGATGTCGCCGTCATCTGGTGGACAAGCTGGATCTAACATCTCTGGGCCTTCCCCGCCGCCCCCTGCCAACCCATACGCTTCTCTCACTCAGTCACCGCCGTTGGCTCAGGGGTCAACCATGTCTCCCCCGGCATCTATCCCCCGCGGAGCGTCGCCCTACAACGCTCCTCCTAGCGTGCCACCCCCAACCAACCGGTATGCACCAAACCCGGCTGCCCAGGCAGCGAGCCCGCAACTGCAGACTCGTGGCCCAGTGGCTCCACCTCCCCAGGCCTCTGCCTCGCCATACGCACCACAGGCAGTATCACAACCCCCCTGCGGCAAACCCATATGGACCCACCACTCCCATTGCTACACAGCCTCCACCTATGGCCCAGGGAATCCCGCCGCCGCCTCAAGGGTCTCGGCCTCCAACAGCCCAGTCGCAGAGGCCGACTCCCCAGGCTCCCAAGTATCGTGAGTAACCTCAGTTACCAATAATTAGTTCCAGTCAACTGACCCTTATTACAGCCCCCGGTGACCGTTCACACATTCCTGCAAACGCACAGCCCGTCTTCGAGATTCTGTCAGCGGACATGCAGCGCGTCAAGACCCGGGCCCCTGCGGCATTCAAGGCACAGGTTGATGATGCCGAGCGCCGCTTGAACATCCTCTTTGATCACCTCAACAACGAGGACTTGCTCAAGCCGAACACCGTTGAGGACATGGCGAACTTGGCTCGCGCACTCCAGCAACGTGATTACAATGCCGCCCTCGCTATTCATGTTGATATCATGACCAACCGGACTGACGAATGTGGCAACTGGATGGTGAGTGAATCTTGGTCTTATAAGCTTTGAACGGTCACTAACAAGTATAATGACAGGTCGGTGTGAAGCGTCTGATTAGCATGAGCCGCGCTACTCCGTAAATGACGCCCTTGTACCTTGTCAAGTAAAGGGAATGCCAAAGGCTTGGTATAACTTATGTATTTCTGGCCTCGTTTTCTCTATACTTCAGCGTTGCTCTAAATTTTCTCATCTTCCTTGTCCATTCACTGTTTTATAATTAATGTCTTGCGTATTTTCTTCCGTTCCTCTTCTCTCCTGGGGGCATAGCTCCTATCATGAGCAAATCATAAAATTTCCAACGTCTCCTAAGTGTGATTGATACTATTCATTGCATGATGCTTTCTTATTTAGACTGCGCGATAAAGATGAATCGAATGAGGATATGGTTTTCGTTTTACTGGTCAATGGATACATATACTAGGATACAGGCTATAATTTAACAAATGCAATCGACTACATGAAAATATGAACCCATATATGCATAGGTAAACACTTAGAGAATCCATTGCAATTTATATACATTCATACAATCGCACCAAAACCCCGCGATTCAACCCGATCACCGTCCACCGACTGGAAGGCCACCAAGCCGTCCTCCGCGACTAGCAGGGAAGTTACGCGCACTCAACAGCGCACCTTTCACACCGCGAATATCAGCCCTAAACCCAGCAATAGCCTCATCCTCCGCCTTCCGCAGACCAGAGCTATCACTCGAGCCCGAGGTATTGGAATTCCAGACCCCGTACGTCGACCCAGAAGAGTACGTCGGACCGCTATAGATCAACCCATCACAATAATGATGCAGTTCGGTGAGCCGGGTACGCATCGCGTCATCCAGTGTGCTCGCATCCTTCTCCGAGTCGACGATCTCACGCAGCTTCGAGGTAATAGACTCAACACGGCTGACGTGGTTGTTAACCGCCGTCGATGGAGAGAAGGCCGCCGAGTCCGCCGAGTTGACCGGGCCGGTGGCGCTGGGAAGTGGCGTCGGCTCTGAAATCGTCTGCGTTGCGACGTCCCGGTGGAACAGCTCAGTCGGGTCCGAGGTGATCGACGAGGCGTCGTCTTCTTCTTCATCGCTGTAGGGCTTGCTCTTGCGTGCAGTTAACTCCGCCGGGATCACGGATACGGTCTTCTCCAGCTTCTCGTTTAGCTTTTGCAGGTTCGCGTCTGCTGTGCTGGCGAGCTCGTGTCGTGCGCTCGTTAGGCTCGCTATCATTGGTTTCACGAGGTACTCGCTTGCGCCGTAGAGACTTGCTCCTAGGCCTGCGGCGCCGTATAGTGTGTACAAGAGGCTGCGCATTGTTACGAGGGGAGGCGGCTTGGATGATTCGAACAGGAATTCAGGGTATGTGATTATTGGGGGGACGTCGCGGGAGGCGGGGGTTGGCACTGGTGCTGGGCGTGATTGAGGCATAGTGTTGGAGGGTGATGAGGAGGTGGCAGGAGGAGAAGGAGTGGCTTGGGATTGAGTGGGTGAGGTAGATGGTGTCTCCTCCTGTGTCTTGTCCTCGGTTGGGGTTGAGGAGCTTGCCTCAACATTGCGGGAGATGCCGAGGACTTGCTGGATATCGTCCGAGCTCAGGCCTTTAGATTCGAGGAATGAGACTTTGCGCTCTGTTGGTGCATCACGGATTGACTCGTCTTCTAGGAATTTGGATGCTTGGTCTAGGAGAGCTTGTCGGGATGTGGAGGCTGTAGTTGCGGGCGCGTCGTCGGAGGTCGGCGATGGCGGCTCCTCGGCCGTCTTATTGGGCCTCTGCCAGGAGGGAATAGATGCTGATTTGGATGTGTCGTCAGGCATGATGGGATATCTGACACATTCGCCAGAGATATGAGAAAGCAAAGGCGTTGGGGTGTTGTAAAGAGGAGACGGAGCCTTCCCCGGACTTGGGTCCATGTGAACCCGACCTCGGCTGTTCCAACGCCGGTCTACACCTCAGGCATCAATATTGCTGTACAACTTGAGATGACACTGATGTATGTCCACATTGTACTAAAATAGGATATTGTTTCAGAATAATCGAAATATAAATCGTATGAATTATGTTTTAATTGTAGTTAGGTAGTTATTATTATATGTCTTAATATGGAAAGTCGAAAACCAAAGATACTATCTTCACCGAAAATAGCCTGCAGGTAAGACGAAGTCATACCACCTGACTCCAGGTCCTATTGAAGGCTATAGAGTCATCTACACCAATTGCTTCTACATTTTATCTGGATAGATCAATTGCATATTGAAAGATCATCCCCATATAGTTCAAAAATGGCGTATATACTCGATACCGCCCGGCAGAATCGACCGTGCAGTACTTCATTCGTTCATCCAGCGTCAGCGACTGGACACCTGGAGGATCTGAAACCTTAGAGAAAAGTACCTGTGAGTATGGCGCTTCCCCCCGTTGATCTTACTGTTTTGTGTTCCTTCCCATCTGCCCACGGGGTTGGTTAGATCCCGAAACCCAGGGAGAAACCAAAAGCCTGCGCATGTGCTCCCCTGTAACAAGTGCGCTTTGTTCGCATTGCCCGTATAGAAAAGCAATCTGTATCTTCCCGGTTTGCAACTCCGCCTCGCACTGGATGAAGTGATTGGATATCTTTCCTTCTTCTCTCTCTCCAGACTGCCCCTCCCCAGACGCTTAATGGCTTAGTTCATACTGCCACACACTTGCCTATCGACCTTTCCTGTCCCGCTTCTTTTTGCTGTTCTGCTTTCTGCATTTTCATTTCCCCAAGGCTTCTGTCACACTCGATAAAGCAGCCACCATGTCGCTCCGTCGATCCCTTCGATCGCGAAAGACACAAGATGATACCCCAGAACCAGATGCTAACATGACCACCAGGTCTACGAGACAAACTCGTGCATCTACCGCATCTGCTTTAGTTTCAGTCTCTCGATCTTCGTTGAATTCAGGAGATCGAAAGAGATCTCTCCGTCTTACTGTCAAAATGCCTTCTAGCAAATTGCGGGAAGCTACGGGTGCTGGCCGTGCTACTGGACGGCGCTCGGTCAATGTGTTCCGGGAGGATCCCATTGTTTCGGGACCCCGCTCCAGTCGGAACCGAAAGAAGATTGTAGAAGTTGCTACAAGCGACGAGGAAATCGACGATCAAGAAGAGGATGAAGTCGACGATGAAGATGCACCTGGAGATGACGATGAAGATCAAGATGCCGATGCCGACGCTGACGCTGACGCTGATGGCGACATCGATATGGATGACGTCCAGCCTCAGGCGCCTACCAGGCGCGGTAAGGTCACTCCTCCGTCTCGCGCCAAGCCGCCCAAGAGTGTGGAAGCCAAGGAGATGGATATGGAAGAAGACGAAGAGGAAGAAGAAGACGAGGAAGAGCCTATTTCCGATACGGATGAAGACGCCGAAGCCGAGGCTGAAGATCAGGACGAAAGTGCCGTTCCAGATGTCAATGGTGATGATCTAGATGAGCTCGATGAAGAGGACGAAATAGACGACGACATGGATAGTGATGCCCTCGCTATGCAAAGTGGCAAGACCACCAAGCGCCAGCGAGGAAACCTGGGAAATGACTTCTTGCAACTTCCTATGGGTGAGAAACTGCAGACAGTTAAATTTTGTCGAAACCGAAGCTGACTTAAAAATAGAACCCCAGGTCAAGAAGCATTTGACCGCCGAAGAACGCCAGATGCGGCGTGCGGAGATGGCTCGGCGAAGAAAGAACCTGAGTGAGAAGCGGAATGAAGAGGAAAAGGTATGCGCAACAGGGCACTTTACAATACACATGCCATTTGAGAACGGCCGCTAACTCCGAATAACAGATGGACACAATTAATCGACTGCTCAAGAAGCAGGCACCCAAGCGTCGTGGTCGAGCTGCGGCAGCCGAGGGCGCTGATGGCACCCCCGGCCAGGAAGCCGCGGAGACCGAAAAAGCTGACCCTACCATGGCGCGCTGGGTCAGTGGCTCAAATGGCTGTATAGTCAGCGTGCCAGAAGAATGGCTAGGTACCCCTGCTGGGCGTGTCTTCGGCGCACCTACAGTTCCCGCGGGAAAGATGGTTGAAGAAGTTTGATGTTACGTTCAGAAACTATAACGGATTGGCGCTTATGGAAGGATTTTCTACTGAGGTATTCGGGAATGGACTACATTATTGCAAGGGACTAGGGTTGATTTTCTGCGTGTGCTGCGAACGGCGTTCAAAAAATGCCTCTTCGAAATGTCAAGCTTTAAATGTCATGCAATACATCGACTATTTCAAATGTTTCCAGTTATCCAGGTATGCCGAGAAAACCGGCCTTTGTATTCAATTAGTCGGAAACCCTCGCTAGTACGCGGGCTAGTCGATTCTAGGTCCATTCGGTACACTACCCATAACTACTCCGGAACTGGCCGTTGCGCCAATTTCGATATATATAACGGCCTCCAGGGCCGGTCACAAGACCTGGCAAGTGTGGCACAGCAAGACATATGGTACCATGTGCACTGGAGCCTCGGAGCGCGGCGAAGAGCAATATTTCCAATAGAGCATAGTGCGCCGAGAACAGGCTACTGGCGCAATCATGCTTGGTGGTACCCAGGCCAATCCAATGTTCAGAATGCCGCTTCAAGGCGAAGGCCGGTCATCATCATTGAGTCGTCGACTTGGGGTCTTGCTGGAACTCGGCTTTGGTGGGAGCATTGGTATCCTGCTTCAGAGCAACAGGATCAGATGGAGGTGAAGCCTTTTGAGCCTGCTGTTTCTCATATTGAAGTTGCTGGAATGTCGGTTGGAAGGTATAGTAGCCTGAAGCAGATAGAAAATTCGAGATTAGGGACTGATACCAGGCATGGGCTATTCTTGCTGTAGAGTAGATTTACCTGTGAAGACACCGACTCCAATAGCAAAGAGGGCAGGGAAGAAATTGCGACTCATTTCGGAGGAATTGAGGTAGACGGCAAGATTTGCAGTTGGGGGAGGTTGCGGGAGGTGATGCGGGAAATCGGTTATCAGTTGGCTGATTAGCACCCGGCGCGTCTGCTAGATTGCTCCGTTGGCACGCGTCAGAATCAAATTCCCTGCTTTCAGACAGTTTGATTAGCTGTTCGACATTTGATATCCTTGCGTTTCGCGAATTTTAACCCGAGAATTATTTCAGTCACGTTTTTATCCCCCTGAGACCACCCAATGACTGCTTAGAGACATGGGGGATCCCCGCCGAGGATGCAAATGGAATCATGGCGACAACGAGGATATGTCCCCGACTCGGACGAGGAAGATGGCTTCGATTCTCTAGACGCTAAGAAGGACAATGTCGGAAATAGCCCTGCTGTCGAAAATCTTGAATATATCGACAACCCTTCATCATCGCCGAAGGAAGGGACGAGAAGTGTGACGAAGGAGCAGCACGAGCACTTTCGGGCTGAGAATGGCTCTATCACACTCTCAGATACGGAGGAAGCGGTGCGAGGGGGCACGGACCGAGCAAGTCCTCACTCGACAAATGCCGCGCATGACGAAACGACACCAAAACAAAGAAAAGTACGCAAGACATACGGACTTCGATCGTCGGCTACAAAATCAACGAATCGCCGCAGCAGTGACCTGCGTAATACCAATGCCTCCGCAAAGAACATAGCCAGCATATACGATTTCCCAACGTCGTCACAGGAACATGACAGGCCTCAATCGACGCCCTCGAGCCGCGAGTCTACGCCGAAGCCCTTGAAGACCGCACGGCCCTCGCAGTCACAAGCTATAGCAGAGCCGCCCATCCCCAAGGACATCACACAGAGTGAGGCCTCAAGCACTCGGAGCTCCTCGCCTGACGAGTTGGTGCTGATCCCTCAGCCAACTCGGAAGAAAAAGCCTGTGGTCAACCATGTTCAGCCAATCGAGGCGTCGCCACCACCGCCGCAGGAGGTTTCGGAAGATGACTCCCCGTTATCTTCTGTTCCGTCATCCTTTGGCTCTCCGCCGGACAAGGATTCTACAGAAATACACGCAGATGATGTGATAGAGACAGAACCAGAAAGACCGGCAGATGGGGAGGCAGATCTACGAAAAGCAGTGCTCATTGAACTAGACGCCAACCGGGACGATGTATCACCTCGGCTTGATATCTCTGAAGAAGTGTTGCGAGAATTACCCCATGCTGCGCAAAGAACATTCCGAAAGCGCAATGCCATCCAAATGCACCCGTACCATTTGGAACAGCTTAAGTTCGCCCAGCAACTGCAAGCGCGGGGTGTCAAGCCTTTCGGTCGACCGGCACAGCAAAGACAGCAGGCTACTGATGAAAGTCAAGAGCAAGATTCATATGATCCCGATGCACCTCCATCAAGCCCTCCTCTTGAAGAGTATCTCCCGCCGGTAAGACATGAACGGCATCGTGGCCCGCAATCTGCTGCGCAAGGACGGGAATACAACGACTCAGAGCATCCTCGGCCATCGCAAGCTCATCTGGCAAAGCGGCAGAAGACTTCTCATTCTGCAACTCCCAAAGATCGTCGAAATATACACAAACCATCAAGACCTCGTGGCATTAGAGACAACAATACAGCTACTGGGAATCAAAACGGTATTTCTATATATGATCTATCATCTAGCCCTCCACACGCAGGCCGTTTATCTTCGACGTCAAGAACTCCTCGTGCATCAGAGGGAGGTTTCCGGTTCCCTCGTGGGTGGTCACCGCCAGAAGAAGTTGCGAAATCTGGGGCAAAGGAAACAGAAGAAGCCGACCAAGCCCAATCACCTGGTGCCGATACAGATGATGAGGAGGAAGTACAGTCTATCTCGTCCAACAGCCAGAGTGATCAAGAAGGAACCAAGTCAGATGCTGAAGAACGTGAAATTCGACGATTCCAACGCATGATCCGAGGAGCGCTCCCTGCGTCACATGCTCGGCTGGATCTGAAGAAACATGCAGACAAAGAAAGAGCTTTGCAATTGGATCGTCATGCTTCTTCGCAACGACCGGATGGAAAGGGTGTTGCGCGGAAGCTCATTCGAAAGGGTGATCGTTCAAGGCAACCAGCAACGCAACAATCACGAGGCTTGTTTGATCTTGGAGATTCCGACTCAGATGATGAGGACAATCATAATGACGCCACAGGAAATGACTCTATGGCCAATGACTCTAGCCAGAGGTTGACTGGTGCCCTTGGCCTGGAAGATCCTTTCGCGCTGGAAGGGGGCGAGGTCTCTGAGGATAATCGCATCGACTACATGTTTGCGCCTGTTCCTCGTAACTCAACAGGTTCTAGACAAAAAGCGAACAGTTTGAAGAGGCCAAAATCGAAACAAAGTCTGCTTAGTGGTGAAAGACAGCCGAAGAGACCACGACAAACCCGAATGACTGATGCCTCATATGGAGCACGAAGGACCAAGAAACCCTCGACTATCCAACGACCAAGGATAGGAATCTTGGATGCGCCAGATGTTGCCACCAAGCCTCGCAAAGAGCAATCGCGACTGCTCAGAGTAGCGACTAGACGACCACGCTCACGTAAAGATGGAGGGAGACAGAGCCCTACTCAGAAGTTCCTGAAACTGGCCTCAAGGGAAGACACAGTGGATGCAAATGAGTCTTTGCGAGAATGGAAAAGGGGAGCTATTCGGCAGGCTAAGATTAGCCCACCTCGTCCCAAAGCTCGCCAACACCGGCATTGGAGAACGAATCTTTCAATTCTCAGTTCCCGGGCTAAGTCGAATACTACAAACGGCAGGATACCGAACCGATTCCTTGATGCAGAGGCAGACACTGATGTTTCGAACACCAACACAGTGGAACCGGAAGAAACACAGGCGCCACCTGAATCTAGCGCAGGATCAGTCCCGCCAGACCAGCCCCCCAGTGGCCGTGTCCTCGTCGCGTCGCAAGCCAGAGCAGCACGGGCATACATGGGTTATTCCTAGGAATGTTGCCATAACATCTTTGAAGAGGAACACCATTAGGCCCGCGGCAACTAGTTTGGCAGGTCCTGGTAGAAGCCAAAAAATGGTCCCAGCCATGTTCAACCAGTCATTGTCTATTCTTAACCGACATTATAAAAACCAGCGCACATCTCAACCTTATAAGCCGAGCTTGACCTTGGATCGATATGTCTCCGACAGTGGGTCATTGAGTACCGGAGGCAATTCCTCACCTATGAATGCTTCTGTTGCTGCTGCTGTTGGCGCTTCAGCTGAAGCAAGAACTCAAACGCCAACCCCCAAAGCCCCTGTATCTCGACGGCGGTTGAAGAAGAATCCCCCAACCCGAATCAATCTCGATGCCGACGAATTCCTTCAGAACCCAGATCCTGCTACCATAGTCTCCGATGACTTGGAACCTCCTACCATAACGGACGTTGGGCATGCACGTCCTTCGGCCTTCAGTGTCGGCGGGCTTTTCAACTGGCAACGCTTCTATCCGGTCGACTTTGGAGTACACTCCCTACGTGACAACACATTCTTCCATGAGTCTACATTCGTAGGAAGCGGGGAATTTTCTCGTTCCTTGCGAATCACAGAGAGGGACTTCGATGGGGGTGCGGCTTCATTCTCCATCGAGCTCAAAGACGAGACATTCCATTGGAGTCGCTGGAACGATACAGTGTCATCGGAGATGGGGCAAGTCTTCGATGTGATAATCGATAACGTTGAGCGCAGTGCTGCCACCTCCCCGGAGACGGGCATTACGGCTGCGCTGGGGGTGGCATCGAGATTATACAGGTTGTTGGTCAAATACGTCACGGGAAACCTGGTTTTCATCGACCCGGTTGATCGTACGGGGTTTGTCACTAGAGCAATAAGGGCTGGTCTCCCAAGTGAGAGACCCGTTGGCTGCCTTTCTGACTAGCGATGAATACAATAAGAACGGGCTTGTGAAAATTGCTTGTTTCAACATGGTTTTCTCGAACCAGATCTATCAAGTTGCTTCTCATCGGCTCGTCAGCCCTGCCCTGGCGACGGAAGCTTTGGATCTTGTCAAGATATCCGCCAAAGACGTTGCAGGCTTGATCACGTCCAAAGTCGGTTCTTCTGAGTTTAAAATGTTGTTCAATGAAAACAACGAGCCTGAACGCCGCGAGTCCGGGATTCGCGATGAGTATCCATCGGTGGAGGCTTACGTCGTCACCAAACATCTTCTACGCAGCTCAGACAACTACAATGGCTGCTTTGAATATATCCAACTCGAAACTTTCAACAATGGAATTATTTGCAATGAAAGGGATGTGGGCAGTCTGGAGGCTGGTTGGCGTGGCATATTCACGGTCTTACCTCTGAACGAAATAGACCTGCTTGGGATTGCGCGCCCTGGTTATCAGTTGACAGTTGTTAATGACAACTGGAAATTAGCCAAACGGCTTCTCGCCCCAGCCCTGGACCATTTCGAGTCCAACTCCAAGGCACAACCCATCTCATACAACAGCTACTGTCGAACCCTGTTCCTTAGATGTCATCGCCTTATCAATTCGTGGGGGTGGAGAGAATGCAAATCCATCCTGGACACGCTATTCGACTTCTTCGCCAAGAACACCCTTCACAACCTGAAGCTCGAGGAAGCTCGTGGCTCACCTTCATTCCTTGACGAACTTGATAGCAATCCTTCTCTGGATGCCCGAGTGGGGGAGCCGTGTTTCCACACATTTCTCAAGATCGTAGCAAGTGGTCTCCGCTTCTTGGCGAAGAGATATGACAAGAAAAAGATTCGAAACTTTGCCTGGCGTCTTTTACCCAACCATGGCCGTGTGTACCCGAAAGAGCAGCCATTGCAGCACGAGGACCTCGATGCGCTAAGAAACCACCACGATCTTCTCAGCACCCTGTACTGGGCTGTTCCTGATGGGTGTCGCCCTCGACTTGAGACAATACGTAATCTGGTCCATCCTGCCACTTCACATCGTGAAGCGTGCAGTATCAATTTGCGGTCATGGTCAAGGCTTGTTCGATTCAAGCTGTCTACGGATGAAGAGGTTTCAGGGCTTGATCCGTTTGGAGACTGGTACGGCTATTTCGTCACGGAGTTACAGCAACAGCATTCATATGCTCGCAAAGAGATTGAGGCTCAAAACACAGGCGACAATCGGGTTTCTCAGCAGCTTGTCGAACGCACAATCTCCCAGAACCAGCGGCAGATTGAGACCTTGTTGAGCAATGCGCTTAACGGGCTGCGGATTGCTGTCCAACTGGCTCCAAAATTGGAACATGCATACAGGCTTGTCCTGAGAACCCCCTTTGAGTCTATCCTTACGCTTTTCAACCCCAAGCTCCCGCGCGTGAATGTCGTTGTATCTGAGGCACTGCAGGTCCTAGTGGCGTACACCCAGAAAGACATTTCAGCTACATCTACATCAGATGCTCCTGCGGCAGTGAATACCGACGAGGATAGCCAGGAGTTCGGTGACTGGGATGCTATTCAGGCTGTTTGGGACCAGCAAATTTCCCCAGGTGAAGGTATTGAACATGTAGAGAAGGCTTTCCATCCGATTGTTTCTCGTCTCGTTTCGAATTGCTTTGGCGAGGACCACTGTCCCGAGGATGCGATCCTTCTTAACGTGGTTGAATGCTGGACGTCAATAGCGCAGGTTCTCGTTCGCCATGGCCTCCGAAATTGGGACAATTATCTGAGCGAGTTCGGCGATGACTCCTGGACGCGGCTTCGACAGACAGTTCAGACAAGAAAATTTGCACCGCTATTCCTTGCAGAATGCATTGAAAAGGACGCACAGATTGTTTCTGAGTGCCGAATCCAAGTTATGAGTATGTGGATGACATCGTTGGTCGAGCGCTCCTCGATGTTGAAGTTTCAACATCGTCTCACGGAGGCGCTTTTGAACGGAAGTCCCACAGATCCCTTGCTTGACAATCTTCCGTTCTCCAAGGATAGGAAGATTGGTCGGTATACAATTACATTGGAGGAAATTGGCTCTCGGCGACTATCCCTCCTCTCAAGCCTATCGTCTAATATGCGTGAGCAGCTCCAAGACATGGAACTTTCGGGCAATCGGAACTTTTCTGTGACAAAACAAGAGTACTCCGAGATGCTTCAGCGAGTGATGATGTCCATGAAAGACAACTATCAAGAGCTGGGTAATGGGACAGCGCAGGCTGCTCAAGGAGAATACGTCGAGTTCGTACAGCGCGTCATCGGTTTCCTCCAGCAACATACCAGCGACATCAAACCGATCGACCCCTTCTTCACGGACCCTGCTTCGTTCCCTTTGCCATCTACCGACCCACGCTACATTGTTGCGAAGCTCAAACGCTACGAGTCAAAGTTATCTTCCAGCAAAGAGATCCAGACCTTGACCGGTTTCGTCCAGAGCATTTCCGAGCGCGCCGCCATTGACGGCCAGCAGAGCTACCTGGTCGACCAGCTGCACACATCGATGAAAAACACCTACGAGGCTGGGGACAACGACAAGCCCACTCTCCGCGCCGTCCTTTTGCAATGCGTGTTTCCAGCGTATCTCGAAGCGACGCTTCCCAATCGCGCCGCCTGGATCCTCAGCCGTCCCATCATCCAAACCATCACTCTGGAGTTCAAGAGCCTGTTGTGTAATATAAACACTCTGGATGCAGCCTGTGTGTGTTCTGTCATCGATATCATTGATGTCGTATGCCGAGCCTCCTGTCAAGCACTGGGTGTGGTCGCCTTACGTCGCCATCGTCTGCAAAGTGCTCCAACTTTACTCATGCTTGCCGCCTTCCTCGACATGATCTCCTCGGTATTGCCAGTGGTAGACTACATCGATCGAGCCACCGGCGCGGGGGGGGTATTCTCACACACATTGAGTGGATCCGCGATTTCGTCAAAGCTGTGGGCAGATGTCTAGAAAGCACGGATCCAGACGCAGACTCGCTCTCGTGCAATGCCCATGTCATATTCCCTGCGATGCCACCATCCTCCGATAGCAGGAAAACTGAACTCTTCGCCACGGCTCACAATCTCGCCTCGACCGACCTCCAACTCTATCTCAGAAAATGGTCGTATCATCAGGATAAGTACTACTTTACTCGTCCTGGTCATGAGTCACAGGAGGTCATGATCGAGCCTGAGATTGCTATACTGGTGGCTAGTCAGAGTGAAGCGCAGAGGGTCTTTGAGGATGCGGCGAGGGGATTCGTCGATCGTGCAAAGTTTCTGGAGTTACTGTCTTGACCGTGTGGGGTTTCTTCCGGTTTTTATATACACGGCGTTATTGGAGGGAATTAACGTGTCACGAATATCAGAAAGGAATCAATAATGTTATTAATGTTTCTTGTACCATATTGACATTGTTGCTGCTGTAATAGAGGCTATAGTTTTCGGGTTCCAATGTACTACTGTATGAGGTTCTCCAATTAGACCATCTTCCTAAATAATAATTATATGGCAAGTTGGATCTAACATACAACAATAGGTATATTAGGGGGTTTCAGGATCATGGCGGTCAAGGGAGATTGCCTCAGGGGATTCTATGGTGGCCTGCATATCCCTAGCCCAGGGTATACGTAGCCCTAACTTGGTTTGCTGCGCTGTTTGCACAGGCCATAAGCCCCAATATCATATAAGGCAGGACTCAGCTTCATCTCAATAGCATGTTCTGAAGTTCACATTCGTTGAATAACACTCTGTGAAAGTCGATTTCCCCCGTGATGGATTATTTCGTCATTTCGATATTCAGTCATGCGTATAGGCCACGCGCAAAAGCCCCGGGCATAGATCCCAAAGTATCTTCAACAGCGACATCGGCGTTAATCCACGATTCGAGTTGTACTCAGTATTTCCATATGCCCGGCACATTCATTTGCCCCGATCAGCTGGCGTATAAAGCCCGATTTGAGAATAGCGCCGGTGATACCCAGCTCTACTGTAGCATTTCAACAATTGGTTCCTCTTTGAGCGTGATAGATCGGCACTAATCTGGCGACGGTACCATATGCTTCAGAAGCAAAAAGCAAAACGGAGAGTTGAATCACACGGAAAATCCGCGAATACTACACAATCTCACGTGGATGTGACTGTTGTCGGGTGTTACAATATTCTCCGGGAAAAGGGAAACAAGTTTTATACTCGCCGCTGAAGTTATTGTTCAGGTCTTAGATTGGTATTCCAGTTGTCTCGCTTTATTCGTTTGGAGTTTAATGCATTTGGGGAAGTATAACGTCGTATAATATATAGTTGACTATAGTATAGTTGACGATGAGCTATATAATCTGCTAAGAGACCTCGGAAACTCGCATTGAGAGATCAACTTATGGATTGAGAATTCATGCACCTCTCGCGATTATGATTTGGAAACCTCTCTTTAGTGCTGTAGCCATATTGGCACATATTCTCCCAGCGTTAGCTGCCCCAACTCTCGATTCAGAGCTGTCTAGCCAGTCGGAAGACAAATATGTCTTCGCCCACTTCATGGTCAGTATATCAACACAAAAACATCCCATTCCTTATCATTGACATAGATCCCATGTCTTCTAGGTCGGTATAGTAAAAGACTACCAGCTAGAAGACTGGAAAGAAGACATGACCACAGCCCAATCCATCGGCATCGACGCATTCGCACTGAACTGCGCAAGCATAGACAGCTACACCCCAACCCAGCTAGCCCTAGCCTACGAAGCAGCCGAGCAAGTCAACTTCAAAGTATTCATCTCCTTCGACTTTGCCTACTGGACCAACGGAGACACAGAAAAGATCACAGAGTACATGAAACAATATGCAGGCCACCCAGCGCAGATGCAGTACAAGGGAGCCGCAGTAGTAAGTACATTTGTCGGAGACAGTTTCAACTGGGATGCAGTGAAACAAAACACGCCGCATCCCATTTACGCATTGCCGAATCTCCAAGATCCGGCTGAGGCTACCACCGGCCCTGCTAAGAGTGCTGACGGTGCGTTCTCGTGGTTGGCTTGGCCTACGGATGGGGGAAATAGTATCATCCCAGGACCGATGACTACCGTTTGGGATGATAGATTTGTTCATTTTCTCGCGGGGAAAACTTACATGGCCCGTAGGAACCCTCTAGCTCTGGTCTGGGAGAGCGGTAGACTAATTCAATGACAGCCGTCTCACCGTGGTTCTCAACCCACTTCAATACTAAGAACTGGGTTTTCATTTGCGAGAACCTGCCGACATTACGTTGGGAACAGATGCTTTCCCTTCAGCCGGATCTGATTGAAATAATTACATGGAATGGTACAGTACCTTCATGTCCCGGTAAATTCACCAGAAAAGTCTCTCCTGACCGTTACATAGACTACGGCGAATCCCACTACATCGGCCCGTACTCAGCTCATCACAGCGACGACGGATCATCCCAGTGGGCAACTAACATGCCCCACGACGGCTGGCGCAACCTGTTCAAGCCCTATATCGCAGCTTACAAGTCTGGGGCAAAAACGCCTACCGTGGAAGAGGATGAAGTCGTGTTCTGGTACCGACCTACGCCCAAGGGCGTCGTATGCACGGGGGATACCCTCTCAGCACCGATGGGTGCGGACATGCTTAGTGATAGTATTTTTGTCGCGACTATGTTGACGAGTCCGGCTACCTTGACTGTGCAGAGTGGGAATAATGCTCCTGTTGAGATCGAGGTTCCGGCGGGGATTGTTACCTCGAATGTGACTATGGGGGTTGGTGTGCAGTCTTTCAAGGTGGCTCGGGATGGACAGACGATTTTGAGTGGTCAGGGGGGTCTGGATGTCAAGGATAGCTGTGTTCATTATAACTTCAATGTTTATGTTGGGTCGATCACTGGGGGAGGTGATGGTGGTAGCTCGACCGGAGCTAGAGGTAGCATGTGATATTATGGAGTATGTATTGGGGATTGTAGACAAATGTCCTACTGCACAAGTGCATATTAGACCATTGTTGCAGAACCTTTCTACTGCATAAGATTGAACCAGGTTACACAACATATAGCATTCCTTCATTGTGCAGAGCTAGAAAGTAAATCAAACACCAGCATGCTCAGATTATGAACACACATAAGAAAACATAAACAGAACCCCCCAGAGTAGACGCCAAATGGAGCCGGAGCAACCCAGCCAGGTGAAGCCATTTCCTCGACCCGCAGGGTTGGTGGCTATGCAATTACTTATGACCCATGAAGAGATAGCAAAATCCACTTAAGCCGTCGGACCCCCGGCACCGGCTCCATTTCCGGTATCCTGGCTGCCACGGCGATGGAAGGGATGCGATCCAAAATGGAAGACTTTCTTCACAGCATTGGTAATGCTGTTCTTCCTCCTGCCCTGTGGCGCCTCCTCGGAGCGATCCGTGTTTTTCTTGGGCACAGAGGCATCATCAGCAAGAACAATTGATGTCACAGCTGGCTTTGGCGGCCACTGCCCGTCTGCTTTCCAGCCTTGAACCATGGCTTTGGTCAAATGGGCGAGGTTGACGGGGACGGTGGGGGTCATGCCTTGCACGACAACCTTGGTGTAAATTGAAGGGTAGATTGCGGAATTGATGCTTGCGCGCACTGGATTGTCATTTGAAATAAAAGGCGGGGCAACAGGGCAAAGTGGTTCATCCAGCTCTTCTTCCACTTTCTCCTCTTCTGTTTGGTCTTCCACAGCCGGGAAGGACGTAGGTTGAGTAGGCACCTTCGTGGCAACTTTCTGATCCGGCTCTGTGATGTTGGTCTCTGACGAGGCTTTCCGTTTAGCTCCCTCCTCTGGCGCGGTAGACAATCCTTCCTCCTGATCCTCTTGCTGTCCCGAGGTCATATCCACTCGATTCTGGAGCTCCTCACTTTTCTCCCGGTCCGCGATAGAAAGAGACGTCTCGGTCCGGACTGCCAGGTCGGAAGCGCCAATACCATCGCTACCCGACCAGACGGCGCTGCAGATTCGGATGAACCAGAAGAAGTCGCATCGTTTCGCCCCAAATGCACACTATGGGACTGATCTGTTGTGTCCGTCTGCGCACCAGCCAACGCGCGCTTTGCCTCCTCAGCCCGAATCTGCCGCCGAGTCTTCGCGCCACACCACGCATCGCGCCTGGCCATCCATACGCGCAGTCCTTCGTTCCACGCCATTTCGTCATCTATTTGTCGACGGCGTTTGCGACGCCGCTCGATGCCCGCGTCGCCAGGGGCGAGAGCTGACGGGTCATATTCTTGCTCGCTATCTGAGCTCTGTGGCTCAAGTTCCGAGGTTGGCGTGTCGAATTCTCGGACTCGCCATTCGCACACTTCGCGGTTGTGGCAAAGGGGTACCGTCGGCGGACGACGGGGAAGGAACGCCGGCCTCGAAATCCCAGTCGTTTCGGACGACTTCCTTGACAAAGATTTTGGCCTCGCGAACTGAGGTGTCCCGAGAACCCGTGGCCATCATTTTCACGATCTTTGAATGTGGGGGGTTGCTCGGGTGAGAAAGTGGGGAGCTCTGTAGCAAGGTTTTCTTGCTTGGCCGAAGGTGTTCTTGCCGGTGCACTCCCGAGGTCCTGATGTTCTCCACTAATCAAAGAAGCAAAAATTGGGAAATGCGAAGCAGCGAAGCCAAAGCAAAAAAAGCAACCTTTGGAAGGTCTTCGCGAGGTCAAAGTGGCGGGATGATCAGACTCGAATGTCATAAGGCACGTGCCCCAATGCGGAGATACAAGCCTCCAACTCTCTCCGCCCTTATATCTTGTTCCTCGGCCTATTCACTTCCGGTTTCGACCTCGAAATATTTGTCGTTTGCTCTAAACTCCGATCTTATACTCTTACAATGGGAAGTACAAAGCGATTGAAGACAATTGACAACAAGGAATCTCCCCTATTCAGCCCAACATATGGAGTGACGCAACGCCAAGTGGTGCTATACCTCCAGTGGTGCTGTTAATCCCTGCCCATAGCTCGCGCTATACCAACCTTGGCAGCTGTTTAGACGAAAACGCGGAGTTGGCGTCGCAATCTCGAACCCTTTGCCCTTGCCGAGGCATATCAAGGAATTTTAACAGAGCATGATTTCGAAGACAGTTCAGGACCTTGGAATCAACATTTGATCACCTAATACGCATACTGTGTTACCATGTTCTAAAGAACACTCTTCATACAGTGTACTTTAGCCACGCCGATCATTTCCCCAGACCCATCTATGCCTGGCCCCCACTGACCTCCTTTAAGACAACCTCCCATTCAAGCTCTTCCAGGATGTCCGCATAAACCGAGACGTTGACATCTAAAGCTCTTTTGAATTGCTGCATACTGCTAGCGTAGAGCATGCACAGCTGCAGCGAATACAGTCAGCACTTTATGGCCAACCAATGAACCCGAGTTGAAAGACCAATTACCTTGATAGGCGCGTGGCAAGGGCCCCAGTGGACGAAGATGGCCTTGGTACTGCATAGCCAGTGGCTGAATTAGCGACACGATATTCCACTGCTCTCAGTAGATCACTGGAGTAATCTCTTACCGCTTCCCTTCGCTCCCGAGGTCATATTCCATGTCGTAGATGGCATACCGTGGAGCTGGGTTGCCATCTTTGTCGACTGCAGCTGATAACTTCTGACAGAAGACCTCGTAGTCTTTTGCCGTAGATGTTTCCTCGACTACGATGCTCTTGTTGTCGTCGGAGATCTTGTAGATGATGAACTTGGGTCTGGTAAATTCTGGGCCCGTTCGGAGCTGGTTGAATGCAGATATGCATTCATCTGCGATTGAAATACTGATATAGATTGTTAGTTGACACATTCTTTGCGAATGCTTTGTTGGGACTGTAGAAATACCCCGATGGAATCTGCAGTAATCAAGGTGTTAGTTCTTATACTGACTGCTTGTATCGGATCTACGTACCGACATGTTGGGACCTGGTAACTAGTGCCCTGTAACAAATTTATGCAGCTAGAATAGATAGACGGAGCAGGTATCTTGTGGTGGATGGAAAGTTGTGGGAAGACAGGAGAAATTGGCTACTTTTCTCGCCTTATATCACTAATCTTACATGAATCCCACGTGTTTTACATGCTACCTGACTAGGCTGATATAATCTATCTTAAAGAAAGATAGAAAGAAGAACGTATTTGGTGTGTATAGTAGGAACCCGGTGCATGTGCAACACGGAATGTCTCTGCCTGTGGCTCTATCATCATTGCTTCACGATACGAACTCAAACTGGAAAGGGTAAGATATATTTCAATCGGTGGATTCAAAGGATCGTAGATAATAAGCATCCAAGTATGTTCCAAGGTTGAGACTAGAAATCTATGAGTAGACATATATAGCTATGTAGTAAGGTAGTTCCTCGCCGGTATACTATATCTCAAACCATTAATATACACTTGTGTACCTGTAGTCACCCCTTGATCAGGTGAATGTGTAAATAAAGAAAAGAAAATCCGCAAACCAAGCAGGGTTGGGATGCTGGCAAACAAAAATTCAGCTTGGCGCTTTGTTATTGCATCTAAGACGTTCGTTGCCGTTCACATGCTGTACATGCATCCCCCTAAAACAATACATATATTCTTTGGTCTATGGAATCCTCCCAAGTGTTAACGGATGGTTCACAACACAGAAGCGAGCAGGGTTGAGTGATTAAAGGGTAGCGGCTTACTGCAAAAGAACAATCAAGGTATATGAATATGAAATAATGCAAATTCTTATTGCCCAAAAAATGGATGGCAGTATATACATTTTGAGTAATGGTACAGGTCTATCGTATCGCTAAAAGTACATAGGGAACCTCCCATTTCCCCAATCCACATAAAATAACCCAAAACAACCGGCACCTCGAATGAAAACAAAATCATGTCCGAACACGCGCTGAATCAGCCGAGGCATTACCACTACCACCAGGAATGAATCCCCACCCAGGGCTCTTCTGGCGGCGACCTTTCCGGTCACCATACTGCTCGTCGAATTTCCGAATCGCCGACAGCGAAGACATATCCTCACTGATTGAAGCGCTGATTTCTTCCATTCCGCGCTCGAAATGGGCCCGAGTCAGGATGCGGCGCTCCGGGTAGGTATATGGTTCATCACCGGTGTGCTTAGCCGCAGCGTCGTTCTCCTCGCGGACGCAAGCCAGCGCAGCCGCCACCGACAGGTTCTTCAAATCGGATCCAGAATACAGCGGCGTGCGTCGGGCGAGTTCGGCAAGGTCGACGGAGGGTTCGAGCTGCTCCTCTTTCAGGTGGATTCTCAAGACTGCTTCGCGGTCTTCCTCGGTTGGTAGATCGACTAATAGACGACGGGGAAGACGGCGGAGAACAGCATCGTCCAGATCGAAGGGTCTGTTTGTAGCGACCATGATAAATGCCGAGAGGTCGTTCATGCCGTCCCACTCGCGCAGGAACTGGTTGATCAGTTCGCGGTGGGAGGTGCGGCTGCTGGCTCCGGTGCGCGAGCAGAAGATGGCATCGGCTTCGTCGATGAAGACCACGCAGGGGCTGAGCTTCTTGGCAAGCGTGAAGATCGCTTTCACGTTCTTCTCGCCCTCGCCGACGTACATGTCGTACACTTCAGACCCGCTGACTTCGAGGACTGTTGCTCCGCTCTCGCGGGCTACGGCTTTGGCGAGGAGAGTCTTACCGGTGCCTGGAGGTCCGTATAAGAGAAGGCCGGGGATCTTGTCGGTGGCGAGGACACCATATGTGAATGCCTCGGGGCGGATGAGTGAGAGGGAAGTCAGGGTTTTCAGGGCGTCGATGGTCTCGGGAGGCACATGCACATCGTTGAATGTGGTTCGGATGCTTTTTGCGTCAACTACACCGTTAAGTAGCTTTTTCTCGTGGGTGTTGCATGTTTTGCGCAAAGAGCTGATTAGTTGCTCTCTGGTCTGCCCCGCTTCCGAATCCTTCTCCTTGGGTGACTTCTCTTTCAGCCATTCATTGGTGATCCGATCGCTTTTATCCATGAGTTCGATTCCACGTCGGATGTGCTCAAACCCAAAGGGCTCCTTGGCTTCAGCGCAACCAAGTGCAAGTGTAGAAATCCAATGCACTTGATTGTACGTCCAGTACCGATCCTCGATCCCTGATTCTTTGATTGTCGAAGGCTCCAGCGGCCAAGAGCGGTCGCTCAGGATGTTATCTTTTACAGGTAGAGCCTGTTCATGTAATCGGAAGCGAAGCATGCTCTGCAGGTGGCGGATATTTATATCCATGGTGCGCTTCTTTCGGTCTTCGGCGAAGACCTTTTCGGCTTCTTTCGAGCTCATCGCCGGGGTGATAAGCAAGGTCTTCGAGAACTGATCATCGAGGACATTCTGCAGTAGACCAGCACCATCTTGTGAGGGCGAGTGGTGGATTTCCTGCGAAGTAGTTCCGATCAACAGAATCTTGGATCCTGCCGCTCTCCGATCTTGGATGACTTTGTGCAAAAGTGAAATGAATTTGGACCCCTCTCGGGTGTTTTGGATGTCACGGTAATCCTGGATATGCATAATTATATCTCGAGATGGCAAAGCCTTGCTGGGTTTTGGTTCCGCATTTTCTGCTGCTTCAACGGGGACTGGCAGCGCTGGTTGACCTGATGGGCCGAGGAGCTCATTGACTAGTTGAATCCACCGAGTTTCAGCGCGCTGGCCACTTCGTGAGGCGCCGGCCCCGGGATCCGGATCCGTTTGGCCATTGATCGATCCCCCCAGAAGAGTTTTCAGCCCAAGCCAGTTGGGAAGAGGGATGTCACCGGCCTCTTTGCTGCTCTCGATTGTGATAAACCGGGGAGCGCTAATATCGCCGCGCATACCACGGGGTCCACCTGCCATTTCAGTCACGTCATCCTCACCGTCTCCTTCGGGATCTTCAATTTCCGACCATGAAGTTGTGACGGATTGCCGATAGACATCATAACCGAGAGATCGAATGGGTGAAGTTACCCCGACATCCGCGAGGTCTTGCTCGCTGAATAATTGTGCAATGTCCTGCGCATTAAGGGTCACCAGGTCAGTGCCCAGCTCGTGGGCAAGTTTCTTCACCACCGCGTCTCAGGAATGGGATGCCATCACTACCCGGGTAGTGCAGCGCCAGATGCGTCTTCTTTACCGAAGGCTCCTTGGCATATTTCACAGGTGGTAACCGTAAGCCTGCTTTGACGGAGGCCCGCAGTTCTTCCCATGTTTCCTCGGCCACCGCATACCGATTCTCCGTTGCTGCCGGTGGTTCACTGGACGCAGACGGGTCGGAGTCTCCCCCGAAAGCCATGCTCTCTGTTTGCACCTCCTCGGGCTCCTGTTCCGACCCTGACTTGGTTATCCTAACCTGTTGGAGCGATTGTGTAGCGCGGTCTTCGCTGCTGTGGGACACCGTATTGTGTTCGTAGAACCATGGGGGAACTGTTGCCGTTGATGGGGAAGTCTGCTGTGAGGACTTCCGGTTTCTCATCGCTCTGCGTACGGCAGATCCGTAGGCTTTTGTGATCGACTTGCCCGACTCGGGGGAGGGAGATGTCGCCGGTGTGCCATTGTCGGATATATTCTCACTTTTGAGGGAAGGGTCTTCCACAGCATTCCCTGGTACTGTAGACTCGGTATCGTGAGGATCTTGGGATGGTGATGCGAGCCATGTTCGTGACAGATGGAATCGTCGCGCGGACAGCGGTGCGGAATAGCGGCGGCGAGCAACAAATCGACAAGGGCGTGCAACTGACAGCCGGACTTGTTGCATTGACGAATACATCCGGGACACTGTCACCGGAGATTTATGTGATATCGCCGAGAGTACTGGATATATGCACCAAGTCGCGAGTGGCCCTATCGGGCCCTACGAAGGAGAAATCATGGATCACGTGATTCTGAGTTTTCTACTATTTGCCGCCGCGTGGTGTTATTACCTTTTCGACGTGTGCTATATACAAAAGTGCATTGAGCTCAAGATTGGGAACTCCTCAAGGCTTACGTGCACACCTCCATTCCATTCACAGGCGTACGGTTTACTCTCTATGCATCGATTCTTCAGTCAAGGATCCTCGTACCCGCTTCGTCTCCACCACGACCAATACCAACACTTTTCGTCAATCTTCAGTTTCTTGACCACGACATCTGGCGATTGAGTTTGACATTTCTAATATGTCTATATGAATCTATGCAGTAGTGTGTTATCACAGTGCTATAATTGAGCGACTATGGTCAGCCTCGAACTAGGCCGAAACTACAACAGTCCATAGTCGGCTGCTTATGCAGCTTCTGACTCTGATAATCTAATACAGTCGAGGTCAAATGTTAAGATGAATATGTATCAAGGACATTATATTCAAGACAAACTATGCTGTCTTTTCAGATGCATGCCTTTCCCCCCTCCCAGTGTTATACCCTAGCACGACGGAAATGATAATGGTAGGCGTCTATGTTGTACATGCACACCTACGCGTGAAACGTGCAGGAGCACTCGACTCCATGCGGCACACGAGGAATCCAAGTGGGATTCCTGCTGCAGCTGCTGTGGGCCTCCAGTAGGGCTACCGTAGTAAGGGAAGACGGCAATACGTGGACCATAACAGCGACCGCTTTGAGACTTGATAAGGCCAAGCCAGAGGCCATCGTCCCCATATGACATTTGCACCTCATCAAGAACGATGACTATATCAGCAGGCCACGGCCTCAAGACAATCTCCTCGCGGCATGGTGACGCGATTCGTAGGCACCGAGGGTGACAGGTCCTCAGATGTCTGGGACCAGAAGAGCCCAAATCCATTCGCCATGTCCACCAAGGCCAACTCTACCTTGGCCAGCATTGTAGCGCCTTGTGTGTCCCGTGGATCACCTCGAAAATTCCAGAGACACCTCTTCCTGAAGCCGAACCGAATGGATTGCACTTGGCGGCATTTCTCGTGGCCTCGATCTTCAAGAAGTGGAAGATCTCATCATCGCCGCCCGTGGACAGCGCTTGTTGTCCCTTCCGCAAAACCTGGGCGCAATGCCTTCAACGAGTTAGATTAAGCGTATGATATAATTCATATCATGAGTACTCACCATGTAGGTCAAGCACTGGCCGAGTTTGTTAGAAAGGTTTGAATCCAGGTTTGACGGGAATGCGAGGTTCAGACGTACTCACACCACTCAGTAGACTTGGCTTAGAGAATGTTGAAGTATATATGAAATGAAGATTATTCAGAGGTAGAAGGGGTTGTAGAGGTCAACCTAGGGTGGCCTATAGGGGCACCTTCCTAATTAGGTTGAGAGAGCGAAGTAAGGAAAGCCCCAGCTCACCCTCAAATTATCATTGACCGCGCCTCCCTAGGCAATTACGTACCTCACTGAACCATACCGAGATGCTCGTGAGTGTTAATCTCTTAGGGCACCGTCTTGTTGCATATGCTGAAAACGCTACTATGCCTAACAGGACTGTTACATCAGTGCCCAGACACAGCTCTGGAAGTCTCTTCCAAAGTTTACTTCCGACATCACATCGTGATTCAGATCATCTCTATCTGATCTCACCCTCTTGAGATCAGTGTTTCTATTTAATATCATCCACTCAGGTTTCGAGGTCCGTGAGGATAAACAAGAAAAACCACTCATGCTCATTTCACATATGCAACCATCAGATTGTCTTCCTGGCCTTCTATTTTACTTCGACCACAGGTAGGGCTAAACCAAGAATCCGCGCCACCATCATGGATTTTTTCAGTCGATTTGGCATCGGCTCATCCAGGCCGTAGACAAAGTGCTCAACAGCTCAGGGCAGACAAAAAGACTGTCGTTGTTAGAGCGGCTACCGGTTGAGCTCTTATTGCCAATATCGGATTTGCTCTTCCCCGAAGATATCTTCTGTCTCGCGTTGTGTAGGTCCCGCATTTTTGTGGCTCTTGGTCGTCAAAGAAGCAATATCAAATTACCCAAAGGGAAAGGCAAGCTATCATTCCTTCGAAGACTGGAGCGTGATCTACAGAATTATTTCATTTTCTATTGTTGCTTTCTTCTCCATAGATACAAATCGTCGGAATGCTACAAGCCATTATATCCGGGGCCCTCTCTGATCACTCACTTTCTTGCTTGCGAAACATGAAGTGGATAGCAGGTATGTATATACAACATACCTGTGAGTAGAAAATAAATATATTCTAAATGGCTATAATCACCAATATTGCTGCTTGATGGTAGACTAAGGTAATCTATCCTAGTTTCTGCAAGAATGAGCTACATGTTTATAGAAGGCGAAGGTGTAAAGATGCCATTGTATTCTGCCCCTGGTATGACGTGACACTTAAAAGACAGGTATATACTCGCAGGCAGGCGGAAAAGGTCAAGAGGAACGCCACAGAGCAATACAACATGCAAGTTGGTTCTACTTTAGGCAGGACGCCTTTGGTGCGTATTTTTGTAGCGCGGAATGGGACCCCGATATGGATAACATGGCACTAGTAGAGGTTCATTAAGCATATTTAGGTATGCTGTACGAATTATAAGCTACAAGAAACAAGACATTTTAAGTTTCTCGGAAGAAAAAAAAATCAAGCATTCCACAACTATATATCCAGACAACACACAGGTGTAATAGCGAATTGATCATCAGAAGGAAGGCAACGGAAATCTCTACACGGTTTTGCGCATTCAGAACAGGTCTGTGAGTTTACATCCGAAAATTTTTCGTCACTTGATCAATTCGCCATTACAACAGGCGATATCCTTTTATGCATCGTGGTTTGTGTTCGTGTTTCGTTGCTAGACTGAGAACAATATTAGTGAATTGCTCGAAACAAAAACATGATCAAGATGCATTGCAATAAAGAGTTCTCAGACAAGATATACTGGCAAGTAGCAGACCAACCGGGAAGGGAGGTCCGAATTATCTCCGCAATGTCGATTTGGAGGGTAAGAAGTAATGGGTTTTGTCATCCTTGAACGGATAGGAAATGCAAATGCAGGAAGAATAAGAGAAAGGACTAAACTCACGTTAAGCACGAAGATGCTAGCACCTGATCTGTCAGGTTAGTGGCGATATTGAAGCATCGTAAGATGCTGGCATTGTGTCATGCTATCCTCAGAAGTCAGGTGCAATCAACATCAAGAAAGCTCCGGAAATCTGAGCAACATGAAACCACAATGCCAAACATAATTCACAGTAGTGATTGCAGGCTTCAAAGATGGCAAAGTGCACTAGACTTGGAAGAATGTCTCCCTAAGAGTCTTCACAATTGTGCAGAGAAAAGAATGAAAGACAAAGAAGAAGATGAAGAAGAAGGAAAAGAAAAAAAAAAGTTGTGAAGAAAAAGCCGCGAAACGGCCACGTGATCTCCTGATTAGGGATAGTGTGTGATTGGACTCAGCGCAGGAGACAGAAGGAAAAAAGCCTCAAAAAGGGAAAAAAGAAAAAAGGAACATCTTGAAAGATGGAGCTTATACTTTAAGATCTATACAATCTCCCGATCTCATTGTAGTTTTTTTCCTCTCTCTTCTATCCCTGTTTTCTCTCTGGATTAATCGCGTTGTCGTCTCGGTTAGATCCTCCACCCTACGGACCCGGATCCTCCGTCCCCAGTTCTCTCTCTCCCACCGGGCGATCATCCTTAATTCCTGACTTGGGCGTTCGCAACACCTTTTAGCCCCCTAATATTCAGTTCCTTTAGGAAACTACTTGTGAGTTGTGCCTCCTTGAGATATTTTGACTGTTTGGGGAAGCCCAGCCCCTCCACGCCTCCACGTCTCTCCCCTAGCCCCGTCACTTTTAACCTTCATCCCCGACATCTTCTCTTATCACTCCCCACTGACCGCTCACTTCTCCCAGAAGGCAAAGGATTCATTGCGCGGGTGAGCTGACTTGGCCAGGAGGCCCCCGATCGATATCTCAGCACCTCGTGTCTGCTGAATACCGGTCCAAGTCGCTCGCTACGTCTTGGCCAATCCCCGAACGCTAAACGCGGCCTGTTGTCTTCCCACTCCAGTCGCGCTCCACGCCACGTTTCGCCCACCATATTTTCGCCATCGCGAGCGATTATTTTTGAAGTCCCCCATTTGTGGTGACTTCGTCGCTCAGCAATGATGATGACGCAGCCGTTTCCTGCCCACCAAGGCATGCCACAACATGGGTTTCCCCCCGGTCACCCAATGGCCGCGCAACATCCAAATGGACACCCGGGCGCTGGAATGGTACAGCAAATGCATCCTGGTGTCTCTGCGCCGGGAGGACCTCAAGTCAGCCAACCGGGCCCGATGATGGGCGGCATGCCCCCGGGCGCTGGGACAGCTGGTCCTGGTGGCCCCGGCCCAAATGCTCATGCCCTCTCCCATCTGAATCCCGCGCAGGCGCATATGCTTCAGAACCCTCAATTCCCACAAAATTGTTAGTATTCCTCAACCTCCTAGTTGCTTAACGCAATGGTGTTTCGAGATGTGATGTTACGGAACACGCGATCGGCGCCCTCTGCGGTGACTTCTTTCCCCGCTATACCCGCGTCTCCTCCAGCCGTCTTTCACGATCGCATACTTACGTTTTGATCAATCTATAGTCGCGAATAATCCCCATTTATTACACCAGCAACAGCACCAGCAACAATTAATGCGGCAACGAATGATGCTCCAACATCAGCAGCACCAACACCAGCAACAACAGCAACAGCAGCAGCAACAGCAGCAGCAGCAGCAACAAGGTCTTCCTGTATCAATGCCTAATGGTACACAAGGACTTAATGCTGCTCAAATGGCTGCAATGCAAGCGAACCCTGGAAT